AATTTTTTCGAATTTTGCAATTTTCGCCGATTAAGTTTTAAAAATTCGTATAAAATCCATTTCTTGGAATATGAGTATGAAAATTTCCCAAAGTGTTAATAAAAGTGTCCTCTTTCCAATGAACCAACCCGTTTTGAAAAATAACTTTTAGTTTTTGAGAAAACAATATTTGAAGTTTTGATAAAATTTTCGATGTTGCAATTTTCGTCGATAACTTTCAAAATTCGCTATAAAATTAATTTCTAGAAGGATCCTTGTGGAAGTATCACCAATTATTAATTAAAGTATCCTCTTTTTAATGCAAAAAGCCGTTTTGAAAAATCTCTTTTAGTTCTTGAGAAATAAATTTTTGAAATAATCGCCAATTTTTTCGAATTTTGCAATTTTCGCCGATTAAGTTTTAAAAATTCGTATAAAATTCATTTCTTGGAATATGAGTATGAAAATATCCCAAAGTGTTAATAAGAGTGTCTTCTTTCCAATGAACCAACCCGTTTTGAAAAATAACTTTTAGTTTTTGAGAAAACAATTTTTGAAGTTTTCATTTTCACCAATTATTAATTAAACTATCCTCTTTTTAAAGTTGCTAGAGGATAAGACCAAAATAACCAACAATAGGCTCTTCTCCACACTCCATCCATACATTTCTTAGTTAATTCTTGTCAAGCGACACGTCGATATTGCCTATGGCATCCAGGATGTTATATTTTTTCCAAAATAGCAAAATTGTTTCTTTATCTCCACCTTCTGTTTTATCAATAAGTTGTTGAAATATATGACGAAAATAATGTACCTTAAAATTTGCAATAACTCCCTGTCCATTGTCCATTTTGGCTGAATTAACGACGTAGTGTTGGATCGCAAGTGTTTAAGTCATCGTTATCTAGCAATAATAAAGCTTTTGGCTTTTGGTGGTGGAAGTTTTACAGATGGACAAAAATGTGTGATAAACCAATTTTGAATTCTCTTCCAAAAAAGTCCTGTTTCATCCACGTTAAAAACCAATTCTCGTGGATAATTTCCTCTTTCAATTATGTAACGTTGCAGGAAAAATTGTAGCGGCAGCAGCTTCGAATGTTGTGGAGCTTGCTTCTTTTTTTTAAATTATCGAACCAACCTTGGCTAGTTGTCAAATTTTCACTCGTATCTTCTCTTTCATTTTGAATGTGATTGAAAACATTTATGGCCTTTTGCATGATGATTTTTTTGACTTAGCGGCATGTTGCGTTCGATTTCATCATCAATCCAAATGCAAAGATCTTTTATCTCTTTATTTAGTCTCTGTCTTACGATTTTTCTACTCTTCTTTCATTCTGCACAATTTCTTTTCTCTCCTCACAGTCTCTATTCAGTGGTTTCTTCTATTTCCTGTCTTCCACTTTTCTGTCCAAACTTTTTTCTCTTATACCAGTCTGTGTCCAGTGACTTTTTTCTATTACCATGCACTTTACAACTTTCAGCCCAACTTTTTTTCTCGTATATTGGTCTCTATTCACCGTATTTTTGTATTGCCACGATCTTTCTAGTCTCCCTTCATTTTGCCCAACGCTTTTTCTCTTTTATCAGTCTTTGTTCAGTGTTGAGACTTCAACTTCATCTTTTTTTTACATCTTGTACTTTCCTAGTAGAGTTATAATGGTATATGGTTGGTTTCTTCATCAAAAGCTTGCGGAACGTCCAAAAATAAGATGAGATTTACGCCTTAAATCATTATACCATCTGGTTGAAGGACATACATTTTCTTGGTCCATCGGTCATCGTTTAGCCCAGTTTCACTTAAAAGTAGTCATTCTTTCTATGGCAACCGTGACTTCTGATCTGTTTCGTATTTCTGCATTCGGTACTTCGCGTCTCATAAAGAGCCATAACGTTGGTCTTTCCATTGCTCTTTGTGCAATTCTAATTTTGTTCGCTGCTTTCTTCGTCAATGTTAGGGTTTCTCCACGATACATCAAAACAGTAAAAGGGTGCAGAAAATACATTTAAGTCGTCTACATGCCAACCTATTTTGTGCCCCAGGTACTTGTAAGCAGTTGTTTCCACCAATTATTAGGTTTATCATCACTTGAGGTTTTGAGCTGTTGATTTTGTTCAGAGGACGTGTTCAATCTTTGTAACATTCCCTGGGCTTTATTTATACAGTTGGATATGAGGACAATATCACATTTTTGTTTATGCCTAAGTCGTCTTATTCTATCTGTTTGCGCATATGTATACTGGATCAAATTGTTGGATATACTGGTTATATACTGGTCTCTTTTCTCTCCAGTAATTTTCTTATCATTATAAGTTTCTCACTTTTCTCTTTTGCCCAGCCTTCTTTTTGACTTTCTAGTATCTCTTGAGTTTTATTCATCTGTTACAAGGCTTCTCCGACCACAGTCTATATTTCTCTAAAGTGTCTATTCAATCACTTTCTTATATTAATATTCTTCTTTCAGTGTTCGTCTTTTCTATTCAGTCTCTTTGTTATCTTCACAACTACTTTAAATAATCTTCAAAATTAGCACAAATCGTTCGAGTACCTCATCATGAAATAAGTTTTGGCAAATTTATCCTTTAATTTTTCTAAAATCTGCAAACTCTTCTATGGTTGCACTACTTTTTTCGATGTCTCCGCGATATCAAGTATTATAGCTTTGGCAATTAGTAATCATCTTCGCAATTGCACATTATTCGCGCTCCATTAATATTTTTCACGCAATATTTTTCTGAACGTGGTTTATTAACCGTGCAGTTTGTTTCTTTGTACATTTGTGGGTTTAGTTTTCCTCTATTCTGCACAATATTTTTCTTCCCTTCCTGGTTTCCATCCAGTATCTTTCTTCTATTACCAGGCTTTTTTGATTCTGACCAACCTTTTATCTCTTTATTTAGTGTCTGTTCACAGTGTATTTCTTTATTATTACGATTTTTTCCACTCTTTTCCTTTCTGCACAATCTCTTTTCTCTCCTCACAGTCTCTATTCAGTGGTTTCTTCTATTTCTTGTCTTCTTGTTTTCTGTCCATACTTGTTTCTCTTCTACCAGTCTGTGTCCAGTGTCTTTTTTCTATTACCATACAATTTGCAACTTTCAGCTCAACTTTTTTTCTCATATATCGGTCTCTATTCACTGTATTTTTATATTGCCACGATCTTTCTAGTTTCCCTTCATTTTGCCCAACCCTTTTTCTCTTTTATCAGTCTCTGTTCAGTGTATTTTTTCTATTGTCAGATTCTTCCTAGTTTTCCTCCATTCTGCACAATATTTTTCTTCCCTTCCTGGTCTCCATCCAGTGTCTTTCTTCTATTACCAGGCTTTTTTCATTCTGACCAACCTTTTATCTCTTTATTTAGTCTCTGTTCTCAGTGTATTTCTTTATTATTACGATTTTTTCCACTCTTTTCCATTCTGCACAATCTCTTTTCTCTCCTCACAGTCTCTATTCAGTGGTTTCTTCTATTTCCTGTCTTCCTGTTTTCTGTCCAAACTTTTTGTTTCTCTTATACCAGTCTGTGTCCAGTGTCTTTTTTCTATTACCATGCATTTGCAACTTTCAGCTCAACTTTTTTTCTCATATATCGGTCTCTATTCACTGTATTTTTGTATTGCCACGATCTTTCTAGTTTCCCTTCATTTTACCCAACACTTTTTCTCTTTTATTAGTCTCTGTTCAGTGTATTTTTTCTATTGTCAGATTTTTCCTAGTTTTCCTCCATTCTGCACAATATTTTTCTTCCCTTCCTGGACTCCATCCAGTATCTTTCTTCTATTACCAGGCTTTTTTCATTCTGACCAACCTTTTATCTCTTTATTTAGTCTCTGTTCTCAGTGTATTTCTTTATTATTACGATTTTTCCACTCTTTTCCATTCTGTACAATCTTTTTTCTCTCCTCACAGTCTCTATTCAGTGGTTTCTTCTATTTCCTGTTTTCCTGTTGTCTGTCCAAACTTTTTTCTCTTATACCAGCCTGTGTCCAGTGTCTTTTTTCTATTACCATGCACTTTGCAACTTTCAGCCCAACTTTTTTTCTCATATATCGGTCACTGTTCAGTGTATTTTTTCTATTGTCAGATTCTTCCTAGTTTTCCTCCATTCTGTACAATCTTTTTTCTCTCTTCCTGCTCTCTATTTATTGTCTTTTTTTTATTTCTAGTCTCCGTCTGTAGTATCTTCAGTAAATAATCACCTATACCTAACTATACCTAACTTAACCTAACTTTCAATATGTCACGCCACCTTTTTTGTTTCTTCCTTATACTACAACCTCTTTTCTGCCAAAGCTTTTTTCTCTTATACCGGCTTATACGTTTTTCTATTGCCAATTTTCTAATCTTTTGTCCAACCTTTTTCCTCATATGTTGACTGTATTTTTCTATTTCCATGTTATTTCCAATCTTTTTCCTTTCTGCCCAACCTTTTATCTCTTTATCTAGTCTATGTTTAGTATCTTTTTGCTATTAGTAAGCTTCCAACGTTCTGCCCAGCTTTTTTTTCATAATGTTAGTGCCTATTCAGTACATTTTTCTATTGCCAGAGTCTTTCCAATGTTCATCCTTTCTGCCCAACTACCAACAGTCCCTATTCAACGTTTTTCTTCTATTCTAGCCTCTCTCCATTCTCCCCAGTTTACTTTCTTTCTTTTTAGTCCCAATTTAACCTCTTACTTCTTTTCCAATCTCTCTCCTTGCTACTCAGCCTTCTTTTTCTTAATCTGGTCTCTATTCAATGTTTTTTTGATGTTACCAGTCTTTATCCAGTATACTTCTTCTATTACCAATTTTTTATTCTTCGCCCAATCTTAATAATAACAAGTTTGTGATCAAATCATATTACATGCTGAAAATTTTGATTTAAAAGACGCCTTGTGGGGTAAACTATTAAAGTTCCAAAAACCAGAATCTCGAGAATGTAGAGATTTACACTCTGATTGGTGCCAACATAAAAGCACCAAAACTCACTTCGTTTAGACAAATGATTAATATAACCTAAAAATGAAGTATTTTTGCGATCATTACCAACTTGAATTTCTTTTTATTTATCCAGGTTGAGAATAAGTTAGAAGAAATGTTTGCTGGTATCGTTGAAGATCCACCAAAACCAGAAGAAATTCCAAAACCAACATCGCCCGAATCGCCACAAAACGAAAATTTAGCAACATCAACAACGTCAAAAATTGAAACCACATCAGAAGAGATTACGTCGACGAATAACGATGAAAACGCTTTGTTATTAATCGAGGAAAGTGATGATTTGTGTAAAACTCCGGTTAAAAAGGGGAAATTATCGACGAAGCGACGAACCAACACGACGCCCAAGAAGAAAAAGGGGAGCAAAGCGGCGAAAGTTTCGTCAAAAACGAGCGGCGGACCTAGCGGGAGTAGCAAGAAAGATAAGAAATCGATTAATGGGAAAATTGAGGTTATTAAGGATGTTTACGCGTATGATTCTGGGAGTAATACGAGTTCGGTGAAATCCAGGGGACCTTTTGTTCATATTGAAGGTAATTTAAATTATTTAAAAACTTTTAGCTTCAAAGACGGTAGAATCTAAGAGGATCATATGCACATAGTGCTGTATTAACAACAATTAGGGCCCTTAGGCAAGAATTAGGTTTTTTAATTTTGACGTTTTCGAATGTAACCTTTTAAAGAATTTTTCTTACACTCTTTATCTTGTCTAAACACTAGTTTATCTAAATTTCTGAAATTCTCCCTCTTTTTGGTTCCCCTATCATAGTACTGTTTAGTTATTTTATGTCTTATCCAAATCGTTTTTAATTTATTGGTAGTTTTCTTCCAAACTCTTTCGCAAAGTTTTTAAATTAATACCAACTATATGGCATGTTGTCTAAAATCACCAAATCTGGTACACCATGTTGCAAATAAAAGCATCAATTATGTCGCTACTTCGTTTACCTGTAATGGCACAATTTCTAGCCATTTGGCCAAATCATCCAGTATTACCAAAAAACGCTTTGTTTCCAAAATCAAGAATATCTGAAACTAATTTTTGAAATGGTAATTCCAGGACTTCATGCCCACCTGATTCTTCATCTTTAGCTGATTCTTTTTTAAATTCATCTTTCCTATTTCACTCATTCTTAAGTATTTTTTTTTCAGAATGAACCATTTCATTCATTTCATGATCAATTCCAACTTGTTCATTACTGTAATTCCTTGACAAGTAATCAGCTAACTTAAATATTGCAAGTGCAGTGTTCAGAAATCCGCATCTCGATGGAGTGTATTTTTTCTAAAATTAGTAATCCTTTTTCAATTGAAGTCTAAAGAATTAGGTTGTTCAATGTCTTGCTCTTCTTCTAGCTCACGCATTTTTACAAGCTCATCAATTGTATTTCTATAGCCCCTGATTGTGTGAATCCAGTAGTTCTTGATCGACCACTTCCTCAATCACATTATCAATTTGATCAAGATTTGGCGTTGATTCTTCCTCGGTTTTAGTGCTGAAAAAAATTGATACAATTTAAAGTTTTTTATGAAATTTCATTCCAAGATTGTAAAACATTGAATTGCTTCCAAAAGTCTTTAGCAGAAAGCTCATTGTTTTGTCTCATAGCTTCATGTAGATGCACAAAGGAGCTTTAAATGTTTTAATAACTCCCTGGTCCATCGATTGTAGCTTTTTAACATCACTTTAAATGGGATTTCCTTGAATTGGCAATGAACTGATGACCAAACCAGTCTTCAAAAAAAGAAGCTTTCCGAAGCTTTTTCAGAAGCAACCTAGTTTTAGATTTATTTTTTAAAGCTTTTGGATTTTGTGGCATTAGCTCCAACCATCACTGTCAATCGATCTTTGGTGGTTTTAAAACCTGGAAAAGTTTTCTCTTCACGCAGGATAAAAGTTCTTTTAGACATTTTTTTTCAGAATAGACTGGTATCATCACCTTCTGATATCATTGCCTTGAGTATCTCTAAAAAATGACATTTCATTTTTGGCTGCCTCCCCAATATCTTGTTTTAATCTCAAAAATTAGCTTAGCTTGAGAGCTAAGCTAATTACTCTTACTTGACGTCTATATATGTTAGTGTGAAATTTTTGTGCAGCAAACTATATAGCTAACATTTCTTGAGGCATATGCTAGTGGATTTCCTTCCTGCATAAAGCAGCAACCTAGACCACTTTGTGACGTATCTGTTTGTATTGTTACTTCTTTTCTTTGGTCAAAATTTATGTACAGGGTGGTTCAAATTCGATGTCCGAATAGGCTAAGTCGGAAACTCTAGGAGTTAGAAAAAAAGTAGCTTACATGTCATGATCTCGTTTTTCGAGAAACTGCTAATGCCGAAAACCTCATAGCGCTATCGTCTTTTGTTTTTCCGCTAGAGGCTAAAATTGAAAATATCGTAAAACCAGCAAACGCAATTATCTTGGTTATTATTATAGCTGGAGTATTATAACTAAGACATTATATGGACACTTTTTCACAGAGAATTTGATGATGTAGACAAAACATTTTTTTTGTTTTAGATTTTGAGATATCATGACAATTTTCATTTTTTTAAATGGAAACAACCACCGATTATTCGCTTATTAAATTCTTTATTTTTTTCTAATTACAAAAATATAGAGTTCGAAAGGTCTATTTCTTATTGTTTTAGAATAAAGCTAAAAATAAACTTTTTTTATAAAATTTCCATCTAGTGTCATCGACGAAATTAAATTTACAGTTTCCTGTAAATTACGGTACTATAACTAAAAATTATTCTACTAAAAATTTATATAAAATTTACTTTATTTTCTAATATGTAACATTCTAACATGTTAAACTTTTCGTAATTTTCGTAATCCATCTTAAAAAACAGGATTTTTAAAATGACACTTCAGAAAATTTTTGAATACAAACAAATGTTGCTATGTTTATTTGAATTCAAAAAAAAAACATATGGCGCCATCTATCAATAATTTATTAAGTCATTTAATAATAATATTAAATATTAATAAAAAATGTGAAATAATGCAATCTATTCCAACTTTTGTGTAAAACATATATAAATTAAATAGTTCAACAAATTTATTTGTTTCAAACATCAGAAATTTGTTTTTTTAATTTTTAGTTATAGTACCATAATTTACAGGAAACTGTAAATTTAATTTCGTCGATGACACTAGATGGAAATTTAAAAAAAAAGTTTATTTTTGGCTTTATTCTAAAACAATAAGAAATAGACCTGTCGAACCCTATATTTTTGTAATCAGAAAAAAATAACGAATTTAATAAGCGAATAATCAGTGGTTGTTTCCATTTAAAAAAACGAAAATTGTGATGATATCTCAAAATCTAAAACCGAAAAAATTTTTTTGACTACGTCATCCAATTCTCTATAAAAAAGTGTCCATATAATGTCTTAGTTATAATACTCCACCTATAATAATAACGAAGATAATTGCACTTGCTGGTTTTACGATATTTCCAATTTTGGCCTCTAGGGGAAAAACAAAAGACGATAGCGCTATGAGGTTTTCGGCATTAGCAGTTTCTCGAAAAACGAGATCATGACATGTAAGCTACTTTTTTTCTAACTCTTATAGTTTCCGAGTTAGCCTATTCGGACATCGAATATGAACCACCCTGTACTTCTAACCACTAAAAGTCTGTTAAGGACTGTTAAGTTCCCCTAACTTTGGAATGAATTTCCTTAGATAGTTTATAACGCCTAATAATTTTTGTAACTCTGTTGGTTCCTTAATATCATTAATTACTCCGATTTTTTGACCATCAAGTTTTATACCATCCTTATTAAAAATGTGACCTTAAGTTATAATATTATAAATGATAGTCTCTATAGATAGTTTTTGGTTTCGACCGGTTTCGGCTTACATTGCCATCTTCAGGAAACCACGTTATTGCGATTCACGTTTTTTTTTATAAACCATAACAATATTACTTCTCTTCTCTCTTCCTATCTTTTTTTTATTGTTTGTGCTTGTCTCTACTAAGCTATAATTTGTGTATAATCCAATTTATTATTCTATATTTTCACCTTTTATGATACAATGACGAAGACGAAGACAAAGACGGACTGGGCATTTGTAGGTCTTCTTTCACCACTACAACGATCTAAAGGGGTGTGATATTTTACAAGGTTCAGTTGAAATGTCCAACTGATATATTATCACCACTCTTTGTTTTATGTAAGTGGTCCTCATTTAAAATTTGCAAGGTGAAAAAAATACTTTCTTGTACCATTTCATACTTTTTCTGACACACTCAATTGATGAAAGAAGCATGTCTGATTTGTCAACAGATCCCATTTTCAAGTTATATTCAAGTATGCAACTTGGCTTTTGAATTCTGTCTCCTGTATGATGGTCGATTTTTCCAGTAACCCTCACATCTGCTCTAAAGCAACTTGTCAACATGCGAACCTCACGTTTATTTTGCCATTTTGCTTGATTGTAGTTTTTGCGCAAGATTGGGCATAAATTTCATGAACGTCTTGAATGTCCCACAAATATTTGTTTTGAAAGTAGATTTTCCAAGATATTCTATTCTAGTCGTTACCGCATTTGTAGTTGCTCCTGTATATACAGGGTGTCTCTGCGAGACCGCAAACCCTAATTATCTCCCAAACTATTAATATTAGGTATGGGCCATATAGGATATAAAAGATGTAGAATGAGACACCAAAGACGACTAAAAAATAAAATATGGGGGGTGCCATTTAAAAAAATGAAGTTATGGTACTTCCAAATTTTGAAAAGTTAACGTGCCATAGTAAAGTGATCAAACGTTCTAGAGCGCAGTTCTTGGCACCAAAACATACTCCATCACGTTGCTTAAGCATGTTCTCAATCCTAAATTGATATCCCAAAAATTGAGTGTTTTCTGATTTTTTGAACAAATGTCTGCTGGAGCAGATTTTTCTAGAAAAATTCGAATAACTCGAGAACGACCGAATCAAATTGTAAAAAGTAAAGTTATTTATAAACCTTGAAAACAGACAAATCCAAATATGTAAAAATATACAGGGTGTTCAATTTAAAAAAATAAAGTTGCTGGCGACTTCCGGTGTAACCGGAAGTGCTAGAAATATGAAAATATTTTAGATGAAGAGAACGTAATTGATAATACTTAAGTCTGCATTCTCAAATTTTTTGTTTGGCCAGAACCCCAGAAACCTCTAATGACCGGTCTCGCTGAGAGACTCTAATGACCCTGTATAATAAGGTCAAGAATATAGCTTTAGCGATTCGGGATTCCATATTCATCATAGTAATGATAATAAAATAAAAAGCAAGGTGTACAATGATATTGTTTATTAACAGTTCTTCTTTAACACGACTAAAAACGGTTACAAGATTTCTTAAATAAGAGGCAGAACATCTAGCGCTCTCCTTTGACGGTAATTATGATTTCTGTTTTTTTCTGTTAATCTGCCTCTTATTTAAGAAATCTTGTAACCATTTTCAGTCGTGCTGAACGGTGAGGTGGCAGATGACGAGAAGCGAATAACTGAACTTTTTTCTCAGTTTTTTAGTTCGGTTTATATCGACGGTTGCCTGAATACCGCTCACAAGCGAAATGTCATTTACCAATCGCAGCCTTGGTTCTCTGAACGTGATGTCTCTCACCTTCTGACACAAATCATCCATAAATTGGACCCTGGCCCCGATACTTTATTGCTAAATGTACAGGGGAGTTGGAAACTCTTCTATTCATTATCTTCAGTCGCTCCATTGAAAATTCAGTCTTTCTTTCTGAATGGAAAAAAACCTTCATAACTCCAGTCTTTAAATCGGGTAGCAAACATTTTGTGTGCAAATTCGTCCAATTTCCCTATTATCCATTGTTTCGAAGGTCTTTGAAAAATTAATTTATGACAACTTACATAGCTATCTTCGACCTGCTATTATTCCTCAACAACACAGTTTTTGGCGATCAGTTGAGATGAATCTGGTTGCGTTTGTTCAATATATTCAGAATTCTATGAATGATTTCGTCCTATATATCTAAGAGGCTTCAAGCAGTGAAAGTAAATAATTTGATATGTAGTTTTACTTCTGTTACATTACCTTGGACCTATTCTATTTCTAGCTTGTATAAATGATGTTTCTGAGTGCTTTCATTATTCGAATTTTTCTCTTTCTGCTGATGACTGTAAAATTTTTGCTAGTATCATATCTGCTTCTGACTGTATTCGGTTGCAAGACGACATTGACAGATTTGATTCTTATTGCTCACAAAATTACTTATTTCTAAATCCTGATAAGTGTTGTCAGATCACGTTCTGTAGAAAGAGTTATAATGTTAACTTCAAATATAAGCTAGGTCCGCATTATCTTACTCAATTCTCTACATTTAAAGATCTTGGCGTTCTTCTGGATTCTAAATTACTCAGTCATCAAGTGTTTAATAACTTTCTGACATGTAATTTTTCGTAGTTTACGCATCTCGGGATATTTAAGGTTACATAATCTTGAACTACAAGATAAGTATTGTTTTGATAGGTTGCTAAATCTGCACCAATTCCCATGATTTTCCTGGTACAGGATTTTTAATGTTGAAGCTGTTCTCACAGTTTTCGATAGTACAAATTATGTTTCTGCATATACCTGGCTACCACACTGAGTCCTTTGCTCTAGCTATACATCTATTAATACCTTGATGTCCTTCGTGGATTAGATTGAGACATCACCTTCTCGCTTTTTATTCTTCATCGCTAACTGCTAAAACTCTAGCTAAAGAAATCTCGAAATTGATGGCATCGCACAATCCAACATTTATTATTGAAATACAACCATGAAATTACTTATTGATCCTCGAGTTAGGCTCCCCATTCAATATTTTCTTTATTGACTAGTCTTACAAGTTACAGCTTGTATTATACATATGCATATTGCACATATAGGTGCCTAACGTACAGACTAGTGGTGGAACGAATATCCGGCAACTATCCGGTATCCTATCCGGCAATTTTTTAAAATCCGGCCGAATATCGGATAGTACTCCACCATTCATAGGAATTAGTATCTCTTTTAGGTGTTGGACACTGTAGATAATAAGCAAGTTGAACTCCAATAGCACATTTTTCATTGAATACAACTTTATTTATATCAAGTTTGTCTTTAGTAACCTCATTGTAACAATCCCAATACGATATATGTTGCAGTTTCGTCTAGTTTTCTTCTCTTCGCTTGTAATTCATCATCACATTCTTTACTAACAGAACTCTCGCTGTTATTACTTTCAATTATTAATTAAAGTATCCCCTTCTTAATGCAAAAAGCCGTATTGGAAAATTACTTTCAGTTCTTGAGAAATAAATTTTTAAAATGATCGAAGTTTTGAAAATTCGTATAAAATCCAATTCTTGGAATATGAGTATGAAAATTTCCCAAAGTGTTAATAAAAGTGTCTTCTTTCCAATGAACCAACCCGTTTTGAAAAATAACATCTAGTTTTTGAGAAAACAATATTTGAAGTTTTGATAAAATTTTCGATATTTGTCAAACGCAATTTTTCAACAATCCTT